GAAGTTTACCATCACCATGGACAGATTTCCCTGTAGATTTTGGTCATGGCGACCCTACAGAAGTTGTTGTAGAGAAACCTAAAAGTTCTGTTAATAAAGATTTTGTTATGAAAGAAACATCTCTCTTGTCGTTTCCCGCCAAAACTGAGGACCTGCCAGATACTGACAACAAAGCCTATCACACAGCTGCATCTCATTTCCTGCAAACTGGGTTCTTAGCTTTTTCATCTCTGTGGTTCTGGTTAGTAGGAACACAGGCAGTCGTCTTATTGAGGAGTTGAAATCAGATCATTTGTCCATCTAGTCCAGTACTGGTAGCCTCTGACTGACAGCAGCTCTCCACAGTTTCAGGTAGGACAATTTTCCAGCCCCACCTGGAGACACTAAGGGTTGAACTTGAGGTCTCCTGGATGGAAAGTATGTTATAAAAGGAAATACTTACATTCTGACAGGCCTACATACAAATGCTGACCCATTGTTACAACTTTGGTATGACACCAAGTACTTCCTAATCCTCATATAAATAGTGTATCATGACAGTGCCTGTCTTTTAATTTACCTTTTCCCCTTCAGCCTCTGCACCACCTCATTCCGGAGAGCCCCAAAGTTCAATTTCCCTTTTGCTTCTCTCTCTAGTATTTCATGGTAATGACTAGGGGAGGTAATATTGCTACCTTAACAGGACAATCTTATAGATGATGTCTCTTCAGAAGAAAGACTAATTCCATATCATTGAACTTAAGGTAAGTGTGTGGAACTGGATTTCGCCTTTTGCCATGGAGGTTCTCAAGAAATGTGTTTAAGCATCTGTCAAAGAGGAACAATATCATGTTGGAGACAGACGGAGAACTGACACCATTATGGAAGCTGGACATTTATTTGGCAGACTCTGGTATAATTCACACAATCTAGGTAATTATTCTGTTATGGATCAATGATGAAAGGGCTTGTTTGCATGAGTGCTGATCCCAGTAAACTGCCTGGTCCAGCCTCTTTTGTGGGCTCCCAGATCCACTAGAGATGCTATGGTTTTTAACATAGAGGAACGTGCATTTTGTTCAGGTGATGTGGTAGACAGAGTCATGGCCTAAGATTCAGGAGGCCTGGAATCAAATTCTCACTCAGTCATGAAAACTCAGTGGGGGTAACAGGTAAAACTATTTCTTAAAAGCCTCATTTACCTTGAAGGCCCTCCTAGGGTTGCTATAACCTGGTTCTGACTGTCCTCCTGCTGCCCTCCTGCCAACCCTGTGAACGCCGCTGTTTTCTCTTTTAGCACAAGCAGAAGCTGCACAAATCTGCAAGGCACTTTCTCCTCTTCTTTCATAAGCATTTCTTGGAAGAGGAAAGACAGCCTCTTCTTTTGCTCTCCTTTCTTGGCATCCTTACAAGGAGGGAGGGAGTGGGAGACAGTATGGTTTCTGCACTTGACTTCTGTCCTCAGAAGACCTGCTTTGGAGGCAGGCCTCACTATTGGACTTCTGCCTTGGGGCATGAGTATAAACAGCTCTGGATGGCATATTTTGGGGGTATCGATCCATCTATTAAAAGAGCATACTTTGGTCCAAGGCTTCTTTTGAAGCACAGAGGTTCACAACATTCAAATAAGAAGACATGATGTGATTGGGTCCTGAATAACCAAGAGAGGAAGTAACTTTTCTAATGTTCCATGTCTATATCTATTGCTATGGGCTGCATCCAATATTAGTCTTAAAATCAATGGGATTTACATAGTTATGACTACCAAGACTCATTAATTTCAATATGCAGCTCTAGACAGGATAACATGGGTTTAGTCGATTTTTGGGGAAATGCCGGCTTCAGTCATTAATCTACATTCTACAGTATTCTCCATATATAAATCCCCCTCTCCTTTGTTTAGACCAGTGGTGCAACAGGGGAAGGATTCAAAGTGTAAGAGTGTAGAGGGATTCAAAGGGCAAGTGAGGAAAGCTAGATTCCTCTTCCTTACCTGATCTGACAAGCAAAAGAGGAGGCCCATGCTCTCCTTCAGGCTGCAGGGCAGGGGTTCTTGCCAGAATAGAATAATCTATTTCTGTGGCCCTTACAGAGCCTGGCTGTGTCTGTCAGTATCATTTCTAGGTATCTAGGAGCTTTGGACAAGATGCTCTCAGAAGTCCCATTTATTGGCTCAGCCTTTCTGAAGTTAGCCCACAGAGACTGCCAGAGAGAAGGATGCTCTTCTCTCTCCTCTGTTGGTTGCTACTTGCATGTACACAGCAAGCAAGAGACAACTGCCAGCAACGCCAGAGTCAGGTACAGCCCAGGGTTATCAGTGGGGTCTGTATAGGGAAGCAACAATCCCATGGCCCCACCTCCGTCTCTTTGGGTTCCATGACATGGCAAGGGCCAGGACTCCATACCAAGAAGTCTATGCATATGTTTGCATTAGCACAGTGTGGCCATGTCTGGCTGGGGATTCTGGAGGCTGTACTCATAAAAGGAGTGTCTTCAAGCTTTTGTGTTATTAGTAAGTGCCATCAAGTTGTTTTTGACTAGTGGTAGCCAAAAGGAGGTCAAAACATCCAATTGTGGACAGCTCAGTTTTTCCAGGCTCAAGGCTGTGGCTTCCTTCCTCGAATACATTCATCTGATGTGCAGATCTATTTTTGTTTTGCCTTCCAAAAAGTCACAATAAATGTGGCTAAGCTGGGAGTAAGTTCTAATTACCAGTAATGGCACGGGTAGTAGGTAGGTGCTGGTGTTGTTTGTGCAATCACTTTGCTAATTATTGCCACAGGCATGTTAATGGGGGAAAGAGAGAGAGGAAAATTACACGTTGATGGCTAGGCCAATTATATTTCTCCACAGCAATCAGAGGAGCAAACTACACCTCCTCCCTTGAGGGAAGCCTTCTAGTTTCTCTACAGCAACCATTTCCAACCTGGAATTCTCCACATACTGTATATCACCATGGTCAGTGGGAATTTTGATCCTGAGATGGGGGGTATTCGTATTTATATACAAATATCCTTGTGCAGCTGGAGTTAATGAGGGTCCAGCCCCTGGGGCCGGACTGTCTACTCACATGTCCACTGGTGGTCCTTCTCTTCCTTCCAATCACCCGAGTGCCGCTTGGTTAGCCACTTGGCAGCCTTGCAGGGAGACTTGTCCTCCCTCCCTCTGCCAGGAGTGGCTAGCTGACCTGGAAGAGAATGAAATCAGGAGCGATTGGAGGGATGTATGGGGCGACCGGCAGGTGTCTGAGTAGATGGTCCAGCCCCAGGGGAGAGAGGAGAAACTTTGGCAAGACTGCTAATGCCTCTCCCTTTCACGTGCAAGGGCTTTAAGATGGTCTTCAGCCCTGTTTTGTAGGGATTAGGCACTAGAACAGAGAGGGAGCATGTTTCAGGTTTGACACAGCTGTGTTGTTTAGAACTTCAGTGACCAGGGCCATATGGAGGATGGTAGCTCTGGAGGATGGTAGCTCTGGGGGGTTTCATAGAAGCTACCATAGTGCACTAGTTAGGATGCCAAATAAGGATTTGGGAAACCTAAATTCAAAATCCTTACTCAGCCATGAAAACATGTGACAGCCCTCACGTCAGTCACACTCCTTCAGACTGACTGACCTTACAAAGATGCTATAAGGATGAAACAGAGAGCAGGAAAACAATGCAAAGTGCACAGAGTTTACCATGAGAAAGAGGTGGAAATAAGCACAATAAACTAAATAGAGCAAACATTAAGGCCTATTGTGGTGTGTTAAGCTTATGCACAGCCCAGGGACTTGACTTCATTACCAGAACTGAACTTATTTCAAAAGCCAACATTCAGGCTTTGTTTCCACACAGGGGTACTTTGTTAAAGCAGCCTGGTTTATGGGAAGGGAAGAAAGATGTGATTATTGTTAAACAGCTGGCAGTCAAACTTCAGCAGACCCACTGTAAGTTACTGTGTGGTCTCCTAGTAAAGCTGTATCTATCTGCCCCAGGCTCACTCTTGCAGTAGAATACTCTGCTTGTGATCAGAGATCAAATACTGGAATGACAGGTAAGGAGCCCCAGTAGCCGTGCCTTCTGTTGTCAAATTTAAATCACAGCAACAGCAAAGATGTGGGGTTTTGAAAGAGGCAGCTGTTCCTGCAGTGTTGGGTGGAAGTGGAACATTGTTGCACAGCATAACATGATTGCAGCAGTTCTATAGCACAAAAGAAGCAACTGAAGAGTAAGCCAAGTACTTCCCAGATCACTCTGGTGGGTACAGAAGATCATGCAGCATTATAGACAGAGAGATCTTTATTTCAGAGGGTGGAAATTGGGGGGCAACATGTGTTTCCTGCCCATACCAATATTTTCAGTTGGTGTTGGAAAAGACTAGAAGGTGATCTTGATGCTGGGCCACCAATCCCAAGGAGATGAGCTTGCACCATCCAGCGCAGTGTGGCTTTTTTAACAGGTGCACCACAGAAACCCTGCTTATAAAGCAAGCAGTTTCAGATGGCCTGCATGAACCAGCCAATGGGTAAAGATAAACAGCTTCACTATGAAATCATTTCGATGTCAAACTTTGGAGACAGTAACATTAGTATTGCCAATTATTCATTATAAAGGTACTGCAATTTCTCTTTTTCTTTCTCCCTCTACATAGAAGGAATAGGCAAAGACTGTTAGCACTTTCTTTAGGGGAAAGACAACCAGGTTTCCCCATCTGATTGAACACTATATGTGAGTTTTATATATTTTTATGCACAAGAAATGCACAGTACAGTATATATAAACAGCAGCCAGATGTCAACCAATGGGCGCTTTTGCATGCCATCCCGAGCTTTGTTAATAAAACTACATCTGCATTGTTCTAGGGTGGCCACAGGACAGTTCTTAATCCATGTACAAAAACAGTATCTCCAGCATGTTATGTTGTGTGGGAGGCTGTACATTGACCAAAGGGCTATTAAATTAAGGTTGTAACCAAAAATTGCATCAGAGAGATATCTTGGAGCTTACTAATTATATAGGCATAAATGAGAGACCAACAGATCGAATAAGAAAAGAAACTATATTGTAATACAGGTAGTACCATATACACCCATTGCAGAAAGGTGCCTCAAGTTAGCAGTTCTGTAACAGTTCATCTCCCTAACTAGAAGGCACAATTGCATCAGTCTTGCAACACTCCCTGGCCTGCAGGGCACCTGCAAGGCCATGAGCAAACAATCTGGACACTGCTCTTCATGAAAGACAAAGTGTTCCTTACAATAAATACATCTTCAAGTTCCACATATAATAAAAGTAGTGCATCGTTAGTTCATTTACGACAAGTCTAAGGAAATTTGGCCCCCTAGGAGCCTACAGAAGGCAAGTTCATATTGCACTGAAAACCCCGGCATTCTCATGAATGTCAAGTCACCATAATAGAGGCTGGAGGCAGAGGCCCACTCATTTGACTCAAAAACACAATCAAACCCCACACATACACCAATATAGCTTTGCCAACTGATGAGGTAGGGCAAAGCTGGCAGAGTTAAAAACCAAGGCCTTGCTTTTGGTGGGTTAGTTTAAAAAGGGATGATGATGTATCTCCAGCCCTTCTCAATACTGCTTGGTTTGGACTTCTTAAAACCACTATGAGCAGTGCAACCTTTTGCACAAGTAAATGATATTGATTTCAATGAGACTCACACCAAGATAGGTGTGTATAGGGTTAGAGAGTGTCTTCCAACCAGCCTTGCAATCTGAAAGATGGCTGGTCAAGTAGCAGTGGCTCTCTCCAAAGACTCAAGACAATAATAAATAAGATCTATTGCCAGCTGTTTAAGCAGCAGGTACTGTATGTAACAGGCTCTCTTCCATCCCCAATCCCAACCCTTTTGCCCCTTGGCTTTATTAACCTAACTTTAGTTGCACTAGATGTGTCTCTCTCATATTTGTTGTTCTTGGTTAAAAGAAGCCTGTGTGGCTTGTGGAGTCTCATTCATTCTATTAACAACTCCTCAACATGGTATAGACAGGGCAGGATGGAGATCAGAGCTGCCTCAATTGAGAACAAGTGTTCATCCTCCACCTGAGGGCAGCAGTAGCGCATGAAGTCCGCAAGTCGCAGCAAGTACTCGATATTGTGGCCAGCACAGCCACTGGAGACAATGATTTGTGCTGCAATGTCCTCTTCTGATGCTGGACCAAGATAGGAGGGATTCTGTGGGGTAGCGATGTAAACAAGTGCCCAGATTGGCTCCTCAGTCTCTTTTTCTTGGGGGTAGAACTTCACCAGCTTGGTGACATAGCCTCCAAGTACTGCTTCCCGCATATCGAGATACTTGAGTGAGGCAGCAATTTGATCTCCACGGAGCTCATAAGCAACACCCCATGTGCACCCCTGAAAGATGACAAATTACAGGATTACTTATCTGCATGGGTAGATAACATTGCTGTTTTATTTAAACCCTTAAAACACCAAAGCAGAAAAGAACTATAAAAACTGCTGATAAAGGTGGTGAAATATCTCTTCAACAAGAATGATCCCTACATTTATGAAAATGCATCCTTTAGTGACACATATTTCCAATGACTTTTGCTATAATTTCACTATCTGCACTCTGAAACACCATACAGGGAAGTGGCTAGCCAACCTCTCCCCTCAACAAGGCATTTGATGAGAATCTTTGGGACAGGTAGGAGGGCCAAGGGGCATCTTGAAAGTGACATTTTTCCACCATTCACTCTTTTAGATTCATTGCTGATTTGCACAACAAAAACACCTTTTTTGAGCCATACTGTGTACACTTACTCTACATGTTTAAAGCATACAGAAAAGCAATGGCGGAAGTTGGCTACACAGCTTTCTCCATAAACTTGATCACCTGCCACTTTCCATAATAAATGTATTCTCCCATTTAATTTTTATGAAGTTTGAGGTGGGCAGGGGGCATTAAAGGGAAGCAGTTATTTTTAATACTGATCATGCTTTCCATTCCAGTTTTACCTCTGGCCTGCCACTGGGTGATTAACACAATCAGCTTTTGGAGGAGTTCCTGGAGGGCTCTAGTAGTGATTCAACCACATGCCAAACCTCTTTTCAGCAACTATGTTTCCACTGTGGAGTGCATCCAAAGTTTTTGGAACCTAGAGATGTTACCTCTAAACTACAACTCCCAGAATCTCCCACTCAATATGGGGATTCTGGGAACTCTAGCGCAAGAACAAAAGGCAACACCTTCAAGCTCTTCTAAATTTCAGTTTTCTTTCATAACCAGAGCATCTGGCTACGTTTAGCAGGCTGCCCTTTCACTATGCGAACAGCAATCAGCCATCCCAGCTGTCTGATTTAGCAGGCTGCCCTTATACGAACAGCAATCAGCCATCCCAGCTGTCTGATTATCCAAAGGTCTGGGGCATTCCTCCTAGAGACAGTTACACATAGCAAGAGCTAAAGTGGTTGAGGAATCTTTAATCACAGATATGCCACCTCCTCCTCCTCCTCCACAGTGGGGATGAAGGTAAAATGCTCACTAAGAACTGTTCTGCATTTATCCCCACTCCTCTCTCAGAAAAGGACCCAGACTAAGCCATGCTGTAAAGCATGCAAATTTAACTGGATAAGGAGGGCAGGCAAGAGAGACTTACGTTGTAATCTTCTTGAAGGGTGACCACTCTTCCCGGCTAAACAGGAGAAGAAAAAGAGGGAGAGAAGAGAGGAGTTTTAACATCAGATAGCCATGTGATATACAGTATCAGCACACGACCCAAGGAACTACTAAAGAAGCCCCACTAGCACCCCAGGGTGGACAGACCGATGAAGCCAAGGAGACCCAGTGAAAATCGGCACTGCGGGACCTCCTTCCCAGCTCCCGCATGGGAAATGCCACAGGGAGGGCGATGGGGACCAGGTGGCTTTGGCCGAGCTCCAGAGGAGGGCCACTGGGGCGGCGGGCTGGATTGAAGCCCTTCTCCGAACCGGCTGGTCCTCTTCTTTCCCCCACCCCACCCCTCGCTTTCCACCAGGTTTCTCCAAGAGAGCCATCCTTTCCAATACAGGCTGTCCGCGGGGTACCCTTCCCAACAGCCAGAAATAAGACGAGCCCCCCCCATCAATCAGCGGGCCTTCTTGCCGGCCCCGATCCCCTCCTCCTCCTCCCAGGGCGCCAGCCATGCCTCTCACCATCTTCTCGCTGCCCCGATGGAAGGTGTCGCCTTGCCAGAAGCGGCGGGTGTAGCCCCGGATGTAGCCCACTTTACTCGAGGTGAACTCGAAGTCCGGCCGCCACACGAGCGAGCCGTAGCCGAAGACCCAGAGCGGGGATTTCGGCGGCAATGCCTCTTCGGCGGTCGCCGTCTCCATCATCATCCTCATCTCCTCCCTCCTTGGCGCCTGCTGCCCAGGGAGGGGCTCTCCTCTTCCGCTAGAAGGAGGCTGCGATACCGGGTCCCGCTTCATGGCTCCGTGGCGGCGCAGGAGGAGCCGGAGAAGCAGCCAAGATACTCGCGGATGCACGGTGGGATCGGAACTCCCGGGGTTGCCCCGGCGCTGAGAGGAACAGGTCGCTCGGCTCGATGCTCAGAGGCGCCTCGAACCGCTGTGCTCTGAAACCACCGCAGAGCTCCCTAAATACGAGTGTGCCGGCACCCTCGCCCTGCGGCCATTGGTCAACCTCAGTTGGCGCTGGATATCCTCCAATCAACGTCGCTAGCGTCACGAGAGTTCCCAATCATCCCGCCTCCGAGGCATCTGGAATGGGCAGAGCGTAGTATTTGACGTAAACGGAAAGCGCCTGCTGATTGGTTACTTTGCTGCCGGCGGTGTCAAAGTGGGCTGATGCAACTTGCCCGGCTCCTTTGGAGTAAAAGAGAGTGATGATTGCATCAGGCGGTTCTTCGGGAGAAGCCTGACGGGAGGGGGGTGGGTGGGATCGGGACAGTAGGGAGAAACGTGCCCTTATAGACTGGCCCTTACGAAATCGAGTCTCTGCATCTGCTAGAGATAGCCTTGGGAGAGGTGATGGTTACAGTGCTCCCTGGCTACAGGTCTCCAGGGTAACAGGCAGGATTCTAGCCAGCTCTACCTGCAGAACTCCGCTATCCCTTCATTTCTCTGTTTTCAGGTCAGTGAGGTGTAATACAGGAGGAAGAGGGCTCTGCACGCATTTGACAATCCAGTTTGAATGTCTGCGGAGCCTTCCTCCTCAATTACATTTCAAAATGCTATGCTGGCTGCAGAGTGTTAAGACCATTTGCTCATTACCACATATTCTCTCCTCCCTCCCCACCTATTTCTGCACTGTGTTGTGCGGTTAAGAAAATCTGTGCAATCTCAAAAGCTGGCACACTCCACGCCCCCCCGGGGGGTTTCATTACTGACCTAATAAAGGTGTTATCCCATTATGGGTTTGAGATTTGTGATATGGTCAGTAATGTCTACCTCTGCTTTTTTTTTCCACTACAAAATGTTCCTGCCATGGTTTATAGAAGTAGTGAGGCAGCCCTTTTGCACAGGCTTACAATCTAACAAGTCACAGCAATAACAACAACAGCAAAAAGAGATTGTAAGGGAAGGAGAAAACACTGATCTCACTGGAAGAGCGATGGAGACCTCTAGCCCAGAGAGAGAGAGAGAGAGAGAGTCTTATAAAAGTGGAATGATATTTCTTTCATTAGCAAAGTGGTGGAGAAGGTGGTGGCCGATCAGCTTCAGACTCATTTGAATGAAACAAATGCCCTGAATCCATTCCAGTTGGGTTTCAGGCCACGCCATGGTACAGAAACGGCATCAGCTGCCCGGCATGATGACCTACTGAGAGAGGCTGACAGGGCTAAAACATCCCTGTTGGTCCTCCTTGATATCTCGGCAGCCTTTGATACCATAGACCATGGTATCCTCCTGAGGAGGCTCTCCGAGTTAGGAATTGGTGGCCTGGCATCTGCCTGGCTCTGATCCTTCCTTGGGGACCATCCCCAGAGAGTACAGCTTGGTGAGAGGGTATCGGCCTCGTGGAGCCTCAATTGTGGGGTTCCGCAGGGCTTGATCATCTCCCCAATGCTGTTTAACATCTGGGTGGGGTCATCAGGGGGTGTGGGGCATTGTGCTATCAGTACGCTGATGACTCTCAGCTCTACATCTCCTTTTCACTAACTACAGGGGATGCCGTTCTGTCCCTTCAGCGCTACTTGGAGTCTGTGCTGCAGTGGATGCAGGAAAATGGGCTGAGCCTGAACCCGGACAAGACGGAGGTCCTGAAGGTGGGTGGCCTCACCATCAGTGGTCTGGGAAACTCTCTCACATTTGGGGGAGGTGACTATTACTGCAAAAAGTGAGGTTCGCGGCTTGGGGATACACCTGGACCCGGCGCTCACCATGGAAACTCAGGTCGCGTCAATGGTCCATACTGCCTTTTTTCATCTTTGGCGGATAGCCCAGCTGCATCCCTATCTTGATGTTTGGGCACTCACTACTTTGGTACATGCGCTCGTAATCTTGAGATTAGACCACTGTA